TGGCTCAGGATATCAGGATTAGGGATGTAAAATCCCATTTAATCAGTAAACCGGTTAAACAGGATCCCACATATTTTTACACGTCCTGTGCCAGAGTTTATGCTCCGTTCCATTTTCCTCACTAGGATTTAACTTCTGCAGTTTAAGGGATGCCTTTTTGCCTCTCGCTGCTTTTGCTTCGCTATGTTGTTTAGCCACAGTGGCACTTTAAAAAATAAAATAAAAAATTGGGGATATACATTTAAATTGAGCTTCTCTGATGGCATCTTTAAAACGTTTCCATGCATCTTGCATGAAATTCACTTTTGACATGGTGTCTTTAATTTCTGTTTAACGAACCTCATTTTTGTGTAACCCCCGTTTCTGAAAAAGGGGCTTTTGTGATGCCGTTTTATGCCCATTTTGAGAGGAAGGAGGATTCAGTGGTTAGTGCCCCAGCCTGGCATTCATGTGGCTATGGTTCAGGTGCTGTAGGCCCAGATTCTCAAAGGGCATTTCGTGTTGTCATTTTCCTTGGTTTCGTAACCCTAATGAGCCTCCTTTAGGAGTCACACCAGCTCTCCAGGGCTTCTGCATGCTGCCCTGGAGGAGACAGAGACCTTACCAAGTGCTTTGTGGAAGATGGGTTAACTCTGGTGTAACTCTGCAGTGCCTGCTAATAATGGAGAAAGCTGAAGAAAGAAAAGGCCCATTTCCTCCTTGCACATCAGACTGCTGCGTAACTTTTCTTCCCATGCGAGGGAGAAATTCCTCGACAATAACTTGAGGCTCCTCTTCAGAAACCGTAAGGATCACTGGGGGTTAGATGGCCCCAGTGTGGAGTGTGTTTATCCTCCCACGCCCAGCTGGGGTTGGGCAGTGCTCTTATCCCCATTGTACACATGGGGATCACAGTGCCTGAGGCCCAGATTTCCACTGTAGCTAATGGTAGTTACGCATCTAAACAGCTAAGGGACTCGCCCAAGGTCCCCTGTGAAATCTGTGGCAGAGCAAGGATTTGAACCCAAGTGACATGAAGGTAGGTTGTGGCGCTCATCACTGGGCCATCCTTCCTCATAGTGGGGATACCAAACTGCAGTTCCATCGCTGTTGAGTTGCGCCTTTCACTCCTGATGGGCTAGAAATGGCACCCATCCTATTGTTTGTATTACTCCATCTCCCCCATGCTGCCAGACCCATTTCTCACCCACCGGTTGTGTGTTGTGTTCAAGACTGGAAGCCCTTTGGGGCAGGGGTTGTCATTTAGTGAGTGAGTTTCATCACGATTAGCACCATGACTTTCATGGCCGCGCTCCATGCCTCAGTTTCCCCACTGGTAAAAAGGCGATACTGATACACTCCCACCTCAATGAAATGCTTGGGCTCCGGGGCTGAATCTACCCCGATATTTATACGGCTGTAGCAGGGCTAAGGATTGCGATTGCCAGTGTTGAACTCTGAGTCTCAGAGGGCTGGTGCTCCAGACTGCTGCTAATCTGTTCTGGGGCCTTAGACCGCAACAAAGGCTTATCTGAAACGCTTGCTGAAAATAGACACCAGTGCTGGCGTGAGGATGTCTCAGCTGCGAGGCCCTGAAGACAGCCAGCTGGTGGAATCTTTCTTTTCTCTTTGCTCCCTGTGTGTAAAAAGCTCCCTTTGTTCTGCTCCCGGCCCACACACTGCCACCCCACTCCTCCTCCTCCTCCTCTTGTTTCAAGATACGCGGGGAGCCTCTCCTGGTTTTTCTCAGGAGAGCCTTGAAGGACTGTGTGCGCTCTGTAAATCTGAGCTCTGCCTGTGTAGGGCGCAGGGACTTATTTACTCCCTGCTCCTCACCCCGTCTGCACCTCCCTTGCTGCTAGTCAAGCCCTGCCATTGCCATGAGATTTGGGTGTATCACTCTCAGGCGGGGTGGACGGGGGGAGCTAGGGGAGCTGAACGGCTGGTGGGCCTTGCCCGGGCACAGCGTCTGTCCTTTGCCCTTTGTTTGTCTGGGTTTGCCTCCCGCTCCCAGCTCTGTCTGCATGAGGGATGTAACAGTGTGCCATTTAAATGGTTGACTGAAAAGCATGAGCTCCTGGCCCCGCTCCCAGGGAGCTGGCTGCCACCCAGTGCTGCTGGCTCTGTATCAGAGGCAGCAGCGTGGGGCAGCAGCCTATTTCCCGGGAGCAGGGAAGCAGGCGGGAGCCCGTGGGTGTCTGGAGCCTGCTTCTGAGCCAGCTTCCAGCATGCACTGGCTCCAGGACTGCTGGCTGCCGCCCCACATGCAGACTCTGCTGTGTGAGACTTATACTGCAGAGCCCAGAGTGCAGCCAGCTCCCCAGGAAGCGGGGCTGGGAGCCGGCTGTGTGTAACAGCGAACAGTCTGAGGGGTTACCTAAAGAACCGCTTTTTAACATCCGAGTTTGTGCTCTGAGCTGGCTGTGTTTCCACAGGTTGCTCCCCTACAGAGCTCGTTGACAGGCAGCCGTTCTCTTCATGATGGAGTTAAGGGGGTGCCGATGGGGGGGAGCACTTTCCGAGTGCCATGCCCAAGGGGCAAGGTAAACAAGCAAATGGTATTTCTCTCTGCAGCTTTCCTGAAATGCGCTATCAAACTGGAAGGCCTGCAGTCCCTCCTTCCCCCTCTCGGGGGGACTAGGGGTGGACAGGAGCCTGAAGAATTTGGCAGATATTAGCAGAGGTCCTTCCCAATCTACTGTCCCTTCGTCCTCCCTGCCCTCCATCCCCTAAGCGTAGCGCCACTCTAAGGGGTTATGGGGAGAACGCCTCGGGGTGCTGGGTGCTGCCCAAACGTGCATGATCCCTGCCCTCGAGAGCTAATGGTCTGCAAGGACCAGCAAAGGGCTCCGGCAGAAGGGCCGAGACACAGGCACGAGCGATGGATGGTACCTGTCACGTTAGTGCCAGGGTGTGGGGGTTAATTGTGTGGGCGCGGTTGTGCTGGAGGAGGGCGGGGGATTAGCTAATCAGAGACCGGGGGCGAAGGGGACTAGGGGAAGGGAACGAAGGGGTGTGTGGAGGACAGATGGAGTCAGCCTGCCTAGGAAGCTGTGGAGGGTGTTGGAGCAAATGGCCAGTCAGCTCGGGGGAAAGTGGCCAGAGTCCAATCTAGGGGAAGAAGCCATGGGGCACAGAGGAGGGCACCAGAGCCCACAGGTCCCTGCTGCAGCTGCTTGTGTGTGCTCCTGCCGGCTGAGGCCAGCGCTGCACAAGAGCCTTGCTGAGATGGTCCTACTGGTATCAGGGAGACCCAGCTTAACTAGCGACAGAAAGGCTTTTGCAGCGTCGCTTGCCCCTCCAGGGAGCGAAATGAGCTCCCGGCATGAGGAGTCTTGTACTGGTAGAACTGGAGCTGGCTAGGGCTGTATACAGACCTCACTGCCCGCTGCCATGCTGCCAGGCTAAGTCTACACTGGCGGCTTCTTGTGCAAAAACTCTTCCAGAAGAGAGCGTCTGCGCTGGCATGTGCTTTTGCGCAAGAGCATCCATGCCAGTGTAGACGCTCTCTTGCGCAAGAAATTCATGTTGCCTGTTTACACTGGCCTCTTCTGGCAGAGCTCTTGCGCAAGGGGCTTATTCCTGAGCGGGAGCGTCAGAGTTCTCACCCAAGAAACCCTGATTTCATACATTAGAACGTCAAGAACACGTGGCCAATGTAGACAGGCAGCAAGTTTTTGCGCAAGATGGCACCAGTGTAGATACAGCCCCAAGGTTTGCAGTGCAGACGGGGCCACGTCTCTGGGCAGCCCCTCCCTGGGGGGTTTTCCTTCCTTTCTCCCTATTGCGTGCGGTTGCTCAGGGGGCCCAGGGAAGCAGCCCTTCGGAGAGGGAGGCCCTGCTGAGTGTGCTGGCGGCTTGCTCCAAGCCAGGGAGGGGGAGCTGCTTTGCTCCAGGAACCTCACGTTGTTCATCTTCTGCCTGACCCTCCCCCTCGCCAGAGTGATCTGTTGAGAGCACTTGCAGGAGACATTGTGCCCCATCCGTCTCTGGGGCTGACGGGGTGGCACTAGCAGGAGGGGAGTGGAGTGGAGAGGAATGGCTCCGTGAGTCTGGCTCTCCGGCAGTGCTCCCCCCCATCTTTTCCATCCATGTGCAGAATACGTTTTGTGCATCCACCGAGGCATGTGCACCACCAGGAGAAACGCAAACCTAGCTGTGGGCACGCTGCTAATCAGCTGGAGTCTCTCCCGAGCGGCCGCGCAAGCGCCCAGCTTCCAGGGAACGCTGCTCTCCCGTGCCGCAGACCACCCTCATCGCACCGAGCCTGCCTGACGGGCCCTTATTCCAGCACCGGCTCTAACCAGAGGCCTGGTGTGTGCAGAAAACTCCAGCCTGAGATTCACTGTGCTGACTGCATGCTCCCTGGGAGCCAGCCCGGCGCTCAGCCCCATGGTTACAAAGCAGGGCCTCAGTGGGTGTCTCGCACAAAGAAGGCACAGTCCTTACGGCGTTGAAATCTGATTTGGAACAGAGAGGCTGCTTTATGAGCGATGGCTTCGTCCGTGCACGCCGCGCTGAGTCCTGGGGGAGTGCTGAGCTATAGAACCCGGCTCTGATCTGGGTTTGTTTGCAGGCTCTTTAGAGCTGTGGTGCAGCTGCTTCTCCGCGCGGGCTGCCAACAGCATGCAAGGCCCTTTGTGGTGGGCCTGGCCCGTGCCAGGGTCCAGGGCATACAGCCGGAAGAGACTTGTGTTTGCACAGGGCTGTGAAGCATGCCAGGGACACACCCAGCAATGGGACAAGGGGCTCTTCTGAAAGAGCTCTCCTCAGGGGACCCTGGCTCTGCCGTTTACACTGCTAGCTCCTTCTGCTGGGTGTTTCCTTCAGTGGTGGATCTCGGGCATGACCTTGGTCTTTGTGCTGTCTGGATCCAAGGCTTGTCTGGTCACTAAGGCTATGTCTACACTGCAGGAATTTGGAGGCGGAATGAAGCGCTCGTTAGCATTTCTCGTGTTCTCATTTGCATAGTCTCTTCCTATCCGTTTTGCGGAAGAGGTTTTTGCGCAAGAAACCGCAGTGTAGCCGGGGCAAAACACCCTTTTGCGCAAGATCCTGTTTGCCTACCTTTGGGGAGGATAAGGGTTCTTGCGCAGGAGGGTTTTTCGCAAATGAGAGTGCGAGAAATGCTACCGAGCGCTTCATTTGCGCTGCCTCTGCCGACAAATTCCTGCAGTGTAGCCGTCGCCTAAGAGTCCTGCAGAAGGATTGGCCTGGTTTAAAGAAAAACGTATTGCTGAAATCAAGGAACGTGATCCGGCGGCTAGCCTCCGGCCACCGGGAGATGTGAGCCCCGTCCCTTGCTGTGACGGGCGGGGTGCATCTTGAGTGCCTCTGCGGATCACTCCTCTGCCTCACGGGATATAATTAGGGGAGGAGCTCGGAGATCTACACATGCAAAGTGCTCCTACGTCTGTCTTGTGCCCCGAGGAGCGAGTGAATAGCCCAGTGGTACTAAACTCCCTCGCTGACGGGGGTTCTTAGTCAGGGCTTCGGAAAACAAGCAGATCCACTAGCATCAGTTGGCTGGATGTGACGGCAAGTCTTTTGTTGTCCCTGACGGGTGTGGTGCCTTGAATAGGATCTGGGATCGATGTCCTTCTCTGAAACGCCGATCTTCCGGCGTGCGCCATGCACGGGACCTTCCAGGACACCGCTGCAGGGAACAATACAGGCATGCGCGTGTCCACTCGGCGCCACATGGTGTGTGCGGCAATGGGTGTGGGTGTGAAGGACACGTCCACAGAGATCAGTGCGGTATCGCCACAGGTAGCCCGGTGGGCTTGTTGTGACTGGGGCGTTCCTCTCTGGATCCAGAGCATTGGCGGATTCGGGCTCTGAAGCATCCCCAGGGAGCTGACTTGGTGCCTCTATGTTGCTGCCCTGTGAAGTGTTGTTGGCTGGGCCGGGGCTAGGGAGGGCTGACGCTTCCCTGGGTGGGAGAGAGCAGCTGCAGCCACAGCGGAGAATTTCTTACTCCTGATTGTCTTCCGTCCATCTCTCTACCTTGCCGGCTTCTTGGATCACATTTCCCCTGTGGCCCGTTCCGAGAAGGAGAGAGACTGCCACGCCGCAGACCGAGCAGCTGGCTCTGGATAATCTCCTGCTCCTTTTGTGTGAATGATTTGCCCACCCTCGCGCTGCCTGCCACCTGACAAGATCGGGTGCGGAAAGGTGAGAGTGTTTTACGGGGCAGTAGGCATGAAGATGCAGGGTAACCCGCCCACGCATCCCCCAGCTAGTCCGAGGCACTGCGAGGACCAGGACCCAGGAGTCCTGCCCCCGGTCCCACGACAGGAAACACCATGGAGCTGACGGGAATGAGACTAGGCCAGCTCTCCCAGCTGGACTCTGGTCAAACACTGCTTCCTGCCCAGAGGCCCCCTGAATCTTCAGCAACCACTGGCAAAGGAAGGGCTCCTGTTGAAGTGGGGAATTGGGGTGTCTTCGATCTTCCCAGATAACCTAGCGCTAGTGCTTCGCCCTTCCTGCCCACGGGCAGGGTCCGCTCTTGTCCAAGGCCACACGCAGGGGCCACGTGCTCAGTCCCCGGCTCCCAGCCTGTGTGTTACACCCTGGCTCCCCTCCAAAGGGAGCGGTGAATCCTTTTCGAAGGGTGTGTGGCTGATTGGGCACCAGGCTGGGACAGAGGAAACCAGGGTTCTAGACCCAGCTTTGCACAGGCTGACCTTGAGCAAGTCACGGCGCCGCTTTGTGCCTCAGTTTCCCTGCCTGTGACGTGGGGAGGACTCTGACCCTCCTCTGTTAAATACTTTGGAGTTGCCTGTGCTGGATAAGAGCGAGGTGCTATTACTGCTCACGTGACTCTCGGTTCTCTGCACTGTGCTTTCCCCCTGGGGTTCCTCGTGCCGGGATGGTAGCCCGGACTAAGGGTGGCCTGAGGTCTGCTTTACGACTTACAATTGTGTGGGGGGTTGGGGATTGTAAGTGACGCCTCAGCACCCGGTACCACTCTCCCCTCCCTTGTTGCCTCCTCTCTGGTCCCTGGGGCTTGCCCCTTCGACCCTTTGAAAGACCGTGGGAATTCTGGGGGTGCGCTGAGCGTGGGCGAGTCCCCGCTGACCTCCAAGCTGGAGACTTTGGTTCTGTTACGGCCTCTGCTCCTGTGGGGAAGGATGCGGCTCCTCTTGCGGGGCCGTTGGCCTGGACCGACGGATGGCGTTTCCCTTTGTCCCTGGCCGGATGTCACCAAGCAGTCACCAGCGATAGGCTCAGCTCTTCTTGGGTGTGAGAGCGTTCTTGCGGCTCCGTGGGGCCGGTGGGTGTTTGCTGAGGGATCTCGTCCCCGCACGGGGCTTTGTGCTCTGCGAGGGACCCTGTGTTTGCAAAGAGCTGCACCTGAAGGGAGACCAGCAGTCGTGGCCGGTGAAGTTCACGAAGACAGGCCGTTGTGTGAGGGCTGGACGCGGGAGCCGGGCCCCGCGAGGCTGCCCTGATCAGTGGCTCTTCCCTGGCCTTCCAGTCGCTGGCTGTCAGTCACGTGCCTGGGGCTGTTTGGCCCCCGCTCAAGCAGACGCTGCCCTGATTGGCCAGTCTGTTGATGCCAGGGCTGAATGTGGCCTGCCTTTGTCTGGCCCGTGTGTGGCGGGCTCAGAGGCTGCTGGGAGGGCGAGGTAGGGGAGTGTCTGGTGAGCATGAAGGGTTAGCTGGAGTGGCCTGTGTGCGGGGGGCTAGGGTGGTGGAGCAGATCCCTCCCTTTTCCCCTGTGGCAGGGGGGTTTCGGACGCTCATCTCCTGCTTTCTGGGTCCCAGGTGTACAAGGGGCTGGACATCATCACAAACAAGGTATCTTCCCGGGAGCAGGCTTCATGCCAACACCACATGATCGGCTTCGTGGATCCCTTGGTCTCTAACTACACCGTCGTGGACTTTCGGAACAAAGCCTCGGCCCTGATATCCTTTCCTAGAGTAGTCCATCTGGCCGGACTAGTACACACCTCGCGCCTCCCTTCTGTCCCCCTCTGGGCCAGGAGCGACGTCCCTAAAAAAACCCAGAGCTGGTGGGAGAACGTTAAGCCGGTGGGGAATGGGGCTGCTAGTCTCCGAGGACCATTAGCTTGTCCGAACCTCTTTGTGTCCAGGAGCGGGCATCTGGGCATCTCGTGTCAGGCCAGATACCATGGCCAGCAAGAGGAGCAACTCGGCAGCCAGTGCGCTCTCGGAGCAGTGCTGCTGGTGTGTTCAAAGGCACTCGACAGCTACCTGGGCAGGCTGGAATTCGGACAGAGCCGCTCTTGCTACGTGCCACCCGCGGCGAACGCAGAGCAGAGCTCAGAGGTGGAAAATCATCCCCTCCCCCCTCCGACCCACATTGGTGGGGTTTGGAATAGACAGTGGAACCCTGCAGGGAGCCCCGGGGTGGAGAGCAGGTGCTGGCTGGCTCTCCCCGCAGCACGGTTGTCCATTGACCGATTAAAACCGAGCGGAGTTTGTACTGCAGGGAGGCCTGAGGAAATGGAGCCGTGCTGTGACCTGGCAGGCCCAGGGCTCTGCTTCACGCTGTCAGACCGGATTCAGGAGGGTTGTGCGTAGTAGGGAGGGAAGAGTGTAGCCGTGTAACTGATAAGCATGGGCCTGCCACACACGGCTCCTGGTCCAGGTCCCTGGGAGGCAGCACTGTGGAGCAGCAGCCAGCACCCCGGGAGTGGGTGGCAGGCGGAGCCGGGGGCTGCCCTGCTTGTAACCATGTAACCACTGACGTGTTCGTCAGTTACACGGGCCATCGATTACAGGCGTTTTAACGTGGCAGCCAGACACAGCTGTTCCCCGGTATAGACGGGTTGTGGCAAGCTCCCTTCCTCTCCTCGAGCGCTGAGATTTCCCAGCGCTTCCTTGGCCCCTGCCTCACTCCTTAACTGAGCACATTGAAGAGATATTTGCCCGAGAGAAGATCCCAATTGTGGTGGGCGGCACCAACTATTACATCGAGTCCCTGCTCTGGAAGGTCCTTGTCGACACCAAGGTAGGAGCCTGGGCGAGGCAGGTCCCCTCCCCGCTTCTGGGCTTGCTGCGATTGGAAGGAGATTGACCTTCCTCCACTGAAACGCTGCAGTGGGCCTGTGTGCCCCCCTGGGTGCAGAGCAGCACACCGGGTGCATGCAGGCCCTGCCCTCCCTTGGGGGCAGCCAGAGGCAAGCTGCTGCCTCTGTTAGCTGGGTCCGCGCTAGCAGGCCTGGCGGCCGATTGCCGGTGCTGCGGGGATAGCTCTATTTCACAAGGCTCTGTCAATCTGGGGCCAGCGCCCTGCGTGAGGCTTGAGTGCTGCGCTCCGCTTGCAGGCCGCGACTCTGCTTGGAGCCAGGCCGGAGCCGTGATGTTCAGGCCCGGCACTGCCCCAGAACTTGGGGGGGGATTTGGCTGCCTGGTTTTGATGGGGGCTCGCTGGTCTGTCCCATTGTCACCCCCCCCGGGAAGCGGAGAGTCCAGTGCGCAGCAGGTTTGAGCAGGGTCTCCCTTTGGCCTGCAGGAACATGCACGGAGGTGTGACTCGGGCAGCCCAATCTGTGCCCCACAGGAGACGACCGGCCCTTCCCCTCGGGGAGCAGCCAGCCGGAAGGAAGAACTGGAGCAGCTGGACAGCCACGAGCTCCATCGCCGGCTGCGCCAAGTGGACCCGGAAATGGCGGCCAGGCTGCACCCCCGCAATAAGCGCAAAGTGGCCAGGTGAGCTCGTCTAGCTGGAGCGCTGAGCTGGGGGCGCCTGGTGCCTTTCGCAGCCTCCCTTGCTATACGTAGTCCAGTCTGCCGTGGCCTGGCCCTGGTGGGGAGGTGGGCACCGCCGCCTTCTGCTCTACATCCAACCTGTTGTCCTGAACAAACTCGCTTTCTCGCCTCGGGTTCGGTTGCCCCTCGCTCCACGGTGCGTTGGGCGAGACTGGGGATGCAAAGGGTTAACCGCTGAGCCTGACCCTGAGCTTACCGGGTCTGGTTAACCAGTAGGAGCTGGAGCAGCCCCTGTGCGATGGGCCCAGCTTCCCCCCCCACCGTAGGGAGGTTACACGCTGGCTCCCCAGGAGTGGGCTGCAAAGCTTCAAGAAGCTTTACGCTGCAGCGCCTGTAACCGCTAGGGTTCCACCCGGCTCCGGTTTTAAACCCCTAGACTAGACGAGCAGCAGGTGAGCGCTGAGGCTGGGGGGCGGGGGCGTCGCAGAGAGGGAGGAATTGGGTGTGTCCGGCCGATGCAGAGCCTTGGAGGTGCTGAAGGAGGGTGGCTCTCCTCTCTCTGGTGCTGGAGGAAGCAGACTCTGGCCCTTGGGCTCTGTTAATGCCATCATCCCGAGAGCCGGGGCAGAGCCTTCCTCGGGAGACTGGGATCTCTGGGTGGGGTGGGTGGAGGTGCCTCACGGGGAGAGGGAGTGCAAGTGACTCCCTGCTTTCCCACTGCTGCCTGGGACGCCAGGGAGCCCCCTCTGGGGCGTGGTTCCTTGGGGCGCTTTGCAGCCAGCGGGGGTATGAACTGTGCCGCTCCCTCTGCAGGGAGACACCTGGAAACAGGCCCAAACCCAAAGGGAGCAGGTTCCAGCCCCCCCCCTGCCCCCGCCAC